GGTCGACATGGAGCTGGTCGACCAGAAGTGACGTCGACCTGGGGCTGGTCGACCAGGGGTGGTCGTCGACTTGGGAGGTCGACGGGCACATACAGGAGCAGCTGGTCGACCTGGTTGCCAGGTCGACCAGGTTACCTGGGTGACGAGGTTCTGCGGAGGAGTGCGACGGTCGCCCAGGCGATGTTGGCGAGGACGACCTTGGTGGTGGTATCCCGAGGTCGACGTGGCTGATCAGAAGCAGTCGTCAGCACGAAGTTGACTTGGTGTGTGCGCTGTGCAGGTGACGAGGCACTACACGCCAATCATCTGCGAGCACCTGCGAAGCAGGTGCGCTGCTGTCCTGCGGGAGCAGCGTTGGCACGCCGTCAACCTGCGATGTTGGCACGCCGTCGACTTGCAGCACTGGCAAGCCGCGCCTCTGCACTGCTGGAGCGCGGTCGACCAAGTCGTGCTGGCACGCGGTCGACCGTGCTGCGCTGGCAGTAGACTTGCTTGCATGCTAGCTCTGATGTAGTCTAGTCTTGCCAACTTCATTGTACCATTGTTGTCAACTTTCTCTAGTGAAACTCTTGCCAATTCTCCCTGTGAACTAGCAAGCTGTGTGTGCACTAGGAAAACGACCAAGGACCAACGAACGCAGAGATCACACGAGCACCCGTGCCTAGCCCGTAGTCTAGCTCCCGTTGTAGTAGTTATCTCCGCATGGTGCGGTGAGCGTGGATCGAGCACCCGACTTACCTTTCAGTCAGGTCGACGTAGACATCACTTACCTAAGTTGTTCGTAGGCCGGCAGCCGTGCAGTCACTAGCGTGCGCGTAGGTGACGCCAAGGGAATGGAGACCCTGGAAGCACAGCTGGAGGACGCGAGGACACGCCATGGGGCCCAGGAGTACGGAACGATCCCCTGGGCGGTTGTGGAGGCTGGCATTCGCACCATGTGGGCGACGTTGCACCCTTCTCGACCTGCGTCTCCTCGACCGGTGAACACAGAGGGCGGCGTCGACGTGGGCGTCAACGCCGGTGGTGACCAGGTCGGCAGCAGTGCGGGAGGCACATCGAGGCAGAGAGGTGTGATACACGCCGATGAAGTCGGCGGCATTCAGGCGCAGGAAGTGCGGCCGTCGGCGGCTGCAGGCTCCTCGCATGGCAATGTCGGAGGTCGACGAAGCGGGCTGTCGCCGATGTCGGCGACCCAGGTGACGGCGGGAGGGATTGCACCGAGCTACGGCTACTTCAAGTTCACGCCGGACAGGATCTTGGTCACTCCGCCGCTCACTGGTCGACCCGACATACTCACCTGGAAGGAAGCCATCGAGCCCCAGCTGGAAATGGCCGGGCTGATCAGCTTTGCTCGAGGCACCGTGGCGACGCCGGACGACCCCGACTTGCGTGCGGAGTTTCGTGCCGTGCAGCTGTTGACCTTCACGGTCATCTCGCGGTGCTGCTCGCCGGGCGTGCAGATCGCCTTGAAGTGGTGCCGGGAGTACCTCGACGCCGGCCACCGGGCGTGGCACTTCATCGAGTCGACCTACCAAGTCACCGACGACTTGTTCATCGCCCAGCTGGAGGGGCAGCTGACGCACCTGCGTATGGGCGACGAGGAGACGGCGACCGACTACTGCAACCGGGCCCGGCGAATTCTCGCCACCATCAGGATGGCTGGCGCGCAGTACTCGACGGCGTCGTACGTCACCCACGTCATGCAGGGACTCTCGAGCAGCTACAACCTTCTGAAGCGGCTGTCAATGGCGCCGAGCACTAGGACGACGCTCAACGAGGACAACTTGACCTCGTACATCCTGCAGGACGAGGCGATGCAGGAGGCAGAGCGGTCACAGGAGCTCTTGGCGCAGGCGAACCTCGTCGCCCCGGCGAAGCAAGGAAGTCGACCGGGGCAGCGCGGACAGCCTGGCGGCGGTGGTAGCAGTGGCTGGAAGCCGGCCAAGGAAGTCGACAAGAAGAAGTCGACCAAGGACAGCGGTCGAGGAGGAGGAAGTCGACGTCGGGAGTGCTGGCTGTGCGGCGACCCCAACCACCTCTCCTTCGAGTGCCCCGACCGCAGTGACTCCGACGACGACGACGCCAAGGGAGGCCGTGGGAGGTCTGGCAGTCGTCGTCCTCGTCGAGGAGGGAACAAGCCGCGCAAGGAGAAGCAGTCGACCAAGTCGACCTCGGCGAAGGATGCCGACTCCTCTGCTGGCGGCAAGGCGCGGGATGAAAAGACGGCTTCGTGCTCTATGGTCGGCGTCGTGGAGCCGACCGTCTCGCTGGCGCCGGAGGCCGGAGAGGACTTCCAGGCGGTGGCGGCGGCTGTGCAGGCGAACCCGGCGGTCGTCGTGCTCGACAGCGGCTGCTCCCATCACCTGATGGGAACGAGGGAAGTTTTCGTCGACCTGCAGCCGAGCGGCCCCATCAAGCACGTGCGCGGCTTCAATGGGGCGCTGCAGGACGTCCAGGGCCGCGGCACCTTCGCCCTACAAGGGGAGGCCGGAAAGCAGGTGCTCATCCCCGACGTGTTGTACGTCCCGGGTGTGCGGGCCAACCTGCTGTCGGCCGGCCAATTGAAGGAGCACGGCGTGAAGCTGCAGGAGGACGGCGACGGGATGCTGCTCGTCTCGGCAGCAGGAGAGGTGCTCGGTCGGGCGACGTACTCCGGGCGAGTACTCTGCACCGACCTGCGTCCCTGCTCACCGAGGTCGACGCCATCCACGAAGGAGGTTGTGGCCCTGCGGGCGATCGTCTCGAAGACGAAGGTGACGCCGGACAGGATGCACGCGAGACTTGCGCACGTCGGCATGGACACCATCAGGAGCTCGGCGAAGAACGGGGTCGCCATTGGGCTGGACCTCAAGTCGGCGACGGGCACCGACTCACCGTGTGTCTCGTGCGTCGGCGGGAAGCTGGCGCGGCACACCTTCCCCGACCAAGGCTCCGACGCCGACGACGTGCTGGCCGTCGTGCACATCGACCTGTGCGGGCCGTTCCGCGTGGCTGCCAAGGACGACAGCTTGTACTTCCTGCTACTAAAGGACCGCAAGACCCGCTTCGTGTGGGTGAGGCCAGTCGCCAAGAAGTCGGATGTGCTGCTGGAGTTCCAGAAGTGGCTGGTGTTGGTGGAGAGGCAGACGAAGAGGTCAGTGCTCATGCTTCGCTCCGACCGGGGAGGGGAGTTCCTCGGGAAGCAGTTCACCGCCTTTGTGGATGGGAAGGGGATCGTCCACGACCTTACCTGCCCGTACACCCCGCAGTAGAACGGCATGGCGGAGCGGGAGATGAGGACGGTGGTGGAGTCGGTGCGGACGATGCTGCTGCACATGGGCGTCCAGCACCACTGGTGGCACCTCGCTTTGCGGCACGCTGTCTGGGTCCGCAACTGCCTGGAGAGGTCGGCGACGCCGGGGACGACACCATACCAGTTGCTCATCAGGAAGAAGCCCGACTTGTCGCTGGCGCGCGTGTGGGGCTGCATGGCGCAGTTCCTCGTCCCCGAGCAGCAGCGTGGTGGGAAGCTGAAGCCGAAGGCCAAGTGGGGCCTTCACCTTGGCGTGTCGGAGGCAAGCAAGGGCTGGGAGCTCCTCGACATCGCTGACAACCGGGTGGTCACCACGTCGGACGTGGTGTTCTACGAGGACTTGTCGCTGGAGGTGTGGAAGTCGGAGCACGGGCCGGTGTCAGGACGGACACCGACCACCCCGCCAACCGACACCTCGCAGGCGACGCTGCCTCTGCTCGCGGAGGTCGGTGAGCTCGCTGCTGGGGACATCGAGGTCGACCATCCTCCTTCCCCTCCTCCCACGACCCATGTTTCTCCCCTCGTGGCCGACCTGCGTGGACTGACTCCGGTGTCGGCCTCCGGCGATGAGGGGAGTAGTGGGACGTCGCCTGCGGCCAAGAGCATCGCCGGTGGCCGACGTGACGAGCAGCAAGTCGACGTGGGAGTGAAGTCGACCTGGATAGGGGAAGAGCAGGTCGAGGAGGTGCAGCCGACTTGGGTGAAGCCGACAGGGGAGCAGACAGCAACGAGGCCGACCAAGGAGCAGTCGGCAACCTGGCAGTCGGCAGGGGAGCTGACCGCAGGGGAGGAATCGGTCGGGACGCCGACCGAGGTGCAGCAGGACGACGAGGACGATGAAGGGGAGCAGTTGGGCGACGAGGAGTCCACCGACAGTGATGTGGGAGAGGCCCAGGCTGGACCACGGCATACAGGCCGCCTTGGGAGGCCTCCTGACTTCTTTGTCCCGGCTGCCTTCACAACGGTGTATGACGTGGTCGACAAGGACGACGACCTGCTGTACGACGACGCCGATGAGGATGAAGACCTGCTGGAGCTCGACCCCGACATGCACGCCGACCCCGAGCATCGTTGGGACATCTCGACGATGACGGTGAAGGAGGCCTTGGCGAGCTGGAAGGGCCCGGCGGTGAAGGCTGCCATGGAGGAGGAGATCCGCAGCCTCATCAACATGGGCACTTGGGAGCTGGTCGAGCGCCCACCTGGAGTGAACATCATGAAGAACCGGTGGGTGTTGACGACGAAGTACCACATCGACGACACCGTTGAGCGCGAGAAGGCGAGGCTGGTCATGAAGGGCTTCACTCAGGTATATGGCGCCGACTACGACGAGACGTTCGCGCCGGTGGGCAGCTACGTCACGCTGAGGATCTTCCTCAGCATCGTCGCCGTCCTCAACCTCAACCTGATGCAGCTCAACATGAAGAACGCCTTCCTGCAGAGCAAGCTCGACCGGGTGCACTACATGACTCAGCCGAATTACTTCAATGACGGAACCGGTCGGGTCTGCAAGCTGTTGAAGAGCCTGTACGGGCTGAAGCAGTCGCCGCTGCTGTGGTACTTGGCACTCAACGACGTGCTGGTCAGCGCCGGGTGGAAGAAGAGCCAGGTCGACGAGGCTCTCTACTTCAAGGTCGGCGACGACGGAGTGGCCTGCTGGGTGCTGGTCTACGTCGACGACCTGCTCGCCGCCAGCAGCAGCACCGAGATGCTGAAGGAGCTGAAGGAGCTATTGGAGTCTGCCTTCGAGCTGCGTGAGATCTCGCCGGTGCAGAAGTACCTCGGGCTGGAGATCGTCCGCGACAGGTCGGCGGGGAAGCTGTGGCTGCACCAGCAGGGCTACGCCGACAAGCTGCGTAGGCGCTTCCTCGACCAGGAACATACCGGGCGCACCAACAAGACGCCCGTTTCGGTCGACGCCTACGCCGAGCTCACCTTCGACGACGAGGAGGCGCAGGAGCGCCAGGAGGAGGAGTACCGGCAGAAGGTCGGCTCGCTGTAGTTCGCGGCGACGACGACGAGGCCGGACATCGCCTTCGCCTACAGCAAGCTGGGGAGCGGACTCACGGTGAGGAGCGACCAGCACTGGCGCGAGGTCGACCGCTGCCTCGCGTACCTCGCCAACACGCGTGACACCGCCCTAGAGTTCGGCGGTGGACCTGAGTCACTGCAGCTGGTCGGCTACGTGGACGCCGACGATGCCGGCGACAAGCAGAGCCGGACGAGCACGGGCGGCTACGTGTTCGTCTACGGAGGGGCCGCGGTCTCCTGGTCGAGCCAGCGCATCAAGTGCGCGACGCTGTCGTCGACCGAGTCTGAGTACGTGGCGGCCGTCGAAGCCGGCAAGGAGGGACGCCGACTTCGCTTCGTCCTGGGAGAGTTCCGGCAGCTGGATGCCGGGAAGCCGACTGTTCTCTGGGTGGACAACAAGTCGGCCATCACAGTCGCCGAAGGCATGGGGTTGACGGGCAACCTCAAGCACATGGAGCGACGACAGGCCTGGCTGCAGCACATGGTGAAGCGGGGGAAGTTTTCGCTGCAGTACATCCCGACCGCTGAGCAGCCGGCCGACTTCCTGACGAAGGCGCTGCACTATCCGGCCTTCAACCGGTGCTCCGTCGCCATCGGCCAGGTGCGCTTGGCCGACGTGGGCGACGAAGTTGACGAAGTGCAGCAGTAGGTGCCATGCCCTCTTGCATGGCTGGTGCGGTGGACGACGTGCTGTGTGTTGGGTGCACGTCGACGAGCTATTCTCCAAGGAGTACTGCCGTGTGGGCTGGGGGCCCAAGCGTGAACGCGGCAGGGGAGTGTCAACGGGAGTTGTGTGTTGGCCCCGTCCTCGCTTGGGCGGAGCCGACTTCGTGGTCGGGTGTGAGGGGAGCAGCCGACCTGCAGCAGTGGGCGAGCTGGTTGACGAGGAGGTCGACCTGCACGGAGACCACTGTACGGGCGCCGACTTCAGGGTGGCGCCGACTTCAGGGAGGTCGACTTGGGAAGTCGACCTGCGGAGGACGTCAACTTGGTGACGTCAACTTGGGGAAGCCGACTTCGGTGGTCGGCTGACGGACTGCTTGTCGACCTGCTGGTGGTCGACTTGACCTGGTGGTCGACGAAGGAGGGGCCGACGTCGACCTCGACAGAGGGATTCAGGACGCCGAACAGCTGGGCGTCGAGTAGCAGGGCGTCAACTTGGTGACGCCGACTTCGGGTAGCCGACTTCGGTGGTCGGCTGACAACTACGCTGGTCGACATGGAGCTGGTCGACCAGAAGTGACGTCGACCTGGGGCTGGTCGACCAGGGGTGGTCGTCGACTTGGGAGGTCGACGGGCACATACAGGAGCAGCTGGTCGACCTGGTTGCCAGGTCGACCAGGTTACCTGGGTGACGAGGTTCTGCGGAGGAGTGCGACGGTCGCCCAGGCGATGTTGGCGAGGACGACCTTGGTGGTGGTATCCCGAGGTCGACGTGGCTGATCAGAAGCAGTCGTCAGCACGAAGTTGACTTGGTGTGTGCGCTGTGCAGGTGACGAGGCACTACACGCCAATCATCTGCGAGCACCTGCGAAGCAGGTGCGCTGCTGTCCTGCGGGAGCAGCGTTGGCACGCCGTCAACCTGCGATGTTGGCACGCCGTCGACTTGCAGCACTGGCAAGCCGCGCCTCTGCACTGCTGGAGCGCGGTCGACCAAGTCGTGCTGGCACGCGGTCGACCGTGCTGCGCTGGCAGTAGACTTGCTTGCATGCTAGCTCTGATGTAGTCTAGTCTTGCCAACTTCATTGTACCATTGTTGTCAACTTTCTCTAGTGAAACTCTTGCCAATTCTCCCTGTGAACTAGCAAGCTGTGTGTGCACTAGGAAAACGACTAAGGACCAATGAACGCAGAGATCACACGAGCACCCGTGCCTAGCCCGTAGTCTAGCTCCCGTTGTAGTAGTTATCTCCGCAGCCTTCTCAGCCCTCAAGAAAAAATTGTGCTCGTCGCCCGTACTGCACATCGCCGATCCATACCGCCTGTTCGAACTAGTCACTAACGCAAGCGACATCGCCATGAAAGCAGTACTGTTGCAGGACTTCGGGAACCATCTTCAGCCAATCGTGTACGGGTCCCGCAACATTCACCTGCCCAAGTGCAACTACCTGATACGCGACCGCAAGATGCTAGCAATCGTGCACGCGTTCAAAGTGTGGCGATGCTACCTCACTGACAGTACGGACAGACCACAAATCATTACAGTACCTTCGCGCCCAACTGAACCTCAATCCGCGACAAATTCGCTGGTTAGACTATCTGGAGTTCAAATTCCACTACACCGTCACGTACCAAAAGGGACCATCGAACATCGCTGACGCCCTCACCTGCCCCACAGCCCAACTTCATGCCATCCTACTCGCCCAAACCAACCCGCTAATAAGAGGACAATTCACCCATGGATACCACACCAACCCATTTTTCACAACTGGATATACACAGCAACTCATAGAAGCAAAGGGAGTGCATTACGAAAAGGCCAGAACCAATCATATCTGGGTACAAGCGTATTCATTGCTACGGGAACGACTACTGCAGGAGGCACACGACGGGGTTACCTCGGGTCACTTCGGGGTAGAGAAAATACGACAGCAACTGCAGTGGTATTACTTTTAGTCAGAGCTGTTGACCGACGTACAACACCACGTGAGGTCGTGCCCCACGTGTTAGGTGATGAAGAGCTCGTGCAAAAGAAAGGCGGGTCATTTGCAACGGATCCCACCGCTTGAGCGGACCTGGCAGCAGGTTACCATGGATTTCGTCACGGGGTTACCTTCGAGCCCCGAGGGTAACGACGCGGTTATGGTTGTTCTTGACAGATTGACGAAAATGGCTCACATCGCTGCGTGCAGGAAATCGATCTCAATCAAAGACACCGCTCGCCTGTTCATCGCAACCGTCGTTCGACTGCACAGGACACCAGCCGCGATAATTAGCGACCGCGACACGAAGTTCACTAGCAACTTCTAGAAGAACCTTTGGGAGCATTTTGGGACCCGGCTACAGTTCACCTAGGTCACCCAGGTAGCTGCGCAGCTCACCCAGGTCTGTGTACGTGTGTCTCTTCTGCAGCTCCGACTTCACAAGCGCGAGTGCCTCAGTGTCACCAGTGGCAAAGACCAAGTCGTAGACATACACGAGGATGTATAACGGCAGCAGGAAGTGTCGGTGCGCACAAACCGCGACGGGTCAGCAGTCGAAGGAGCAAACCCAAGAGCCGCAAGTGTCGTCCTCAGTGTGTCGTGCCACTCACGAGGAGCCTGGCGGAGACCGTAGACTGGCCGTCGGAGGCTCCACTGGGTACCCTCAGGAAACGACCCAGTGAAGCCAGGAGGACGGCGCAGCCAGATCTCCTCGTGCAGGCTGCCCCAAAAGAAAGCTGTGTTGAAGTCAAGAGAGTGAAGCTCGTAGTCATGCTGAGCGGCAACGTGTAGCAACAACCGAAGAGTGGTCATCTTCGGGGTAAAGGAGAAAGTCTGGAAGAAGACAACTCCCTGCCACTGACTAAAGCCTCGTACAACGTAACGTGCCTTGAAGACAGGCGGAGAACCAGGCAACCACTTCACCCTGAAAATCCACATGCCATCGACTATGTTCGCTCCAGGAGGGGGAACTACGTCGACGTAAGTGCCTGTGGACTTCCAGAATGCCATCTCTGCGTCCATGGCTGTCTGCCACTAAGAGGAGTAGGGACCCGTAATCGCCTCTGCGTAAGAGCGCGGGGTCGGGATGTCTAGTGCATCCGGGTCTCCCTCAGGTGCAAGCAGCATGGCCACGAGATGAGGTACAGCAGCTGCAAGACACTCAAAGTCCTCCTGCCTATCCTCAAGGACGTCCAAGAGCACACTCACCCCCGACAAACAGAGGACAGACAGACTCAGACTCAGCAACAAGACTAGTGGCGTAGTCTAGACGCAGACACAGTAGTGGACTCAAAAGAAGGGTCAGTGACAATAGTGGCTAGGAGACGCGTGACAGTAGGGCTGGCAGCACGAACCAAGTCAGACTCAGGGTCCGGAACGTCAGGAAGAGAGGACGCCGGAGGAGACGGCAGGGTAACGCGCTGTGGAATAGAGGAAGGACGAAGTGCCATAGTGTGCGTGCCGGGGACAGGTGGAGGACGAGGACGGGGAACACGACGAGCACGGCGGTAGCAGTGACAGCTGCGGCGGCGGCAAGAAGAACGGTCGCTGCTGCACAGTGCCTCCAGCACCAGTACCGCCAGCTCTAGTGCCCCCAGCTCTAGGGTCTGCAGCTCCAGCGCCTCCAGCTCCAGCGCCTCCAGCTCCAGCGCCTCCAGCACCAGCCGCTCCACCAGCTCCAGTAACTCCAGCGCCAATACCTCCAGGACCAGCAACGCCAGTACCTCCAGGACCTCCAGCTCCAGTACCTCGAGCTCCAGTACCTCGAGCTCTAGTACCACCAGTACCTCCAGCAGCTCCAGCACCTCCAGCTCCAGTACCTCCAGCGCCTCCAGCTCCAGCGCCTCCAGCTCTAGCGCCTCCAGCTTCAGCGCCTACAGTGGCAGGTCCTCCAGCTCCAGCAGCGCCACTCCGAAGGCGGGTGCGCTGAGCAAACCACTCGCACAGCTGCTATGGTGAGAGAGGCTTTCGCCGGCTAGACCGCTGCGGCGAGGCACCCGTAGGACCTCCAGCAGATGCAGTACCGCTTAGCACCCCCAGGCTCCGCACCCCCAAATTCAGCACCCCCAGGCTCCGCACCCCCAGGCTCCGCACCCCCAGGCTCCGCACCCTCAGGCTCAGCACCCCTAGGCTCCGCACCCTCACGCTCAGCACCCCCAGGCTCCGCACTCGCAGGCTCAGCACCCCCAGGCTCCGCACCCTCAGACTCAGCACCCCCAGGCTGTGCACCCGCAGGCTCAGCACCCCCAGACGCAGCACCCCAAGCAGCACCACCCTTAGCAGCACCAGAGTCACCAGTGACCTCGACAGGCTCAGCCAAGGGAAGTGGGTCTACCTGAGACACACTTGAAGGAGCAGGACCCTGAGAGGGGAGGGGGGTCTACCGGAGGGGGACCTGGAGCGAGGAAGAGCGGCGGGGGGGGGGGGGGGGGGGGGGAGCGGGGCAGTGCGGTAGGGGAAGAGACGGTAGAAGGGAACCGACTCGTCAAACGTGACGTCCTGAGAGGACAGAACACGGCGCGTGGTGGGGTGGTAAAACTGCCAGCCAGGCGCGTCAGGGGGGAAGCCAAGGAAGACACAGGGAATGGCGCGGGAGGAGAGCTTGTCCGCGGAGGTATCGCGGACAAAGGCACGAGAGCCCCAGACCCGGAACACCGACGCATCGCCAACCTCCCCCGTCCAACGCAGTGTAGGCGAGGTCTCCGGCAAGGAGACACAGGGCCAGAGGTTGAGCTGATGCACAGCGTACCGGACCGCAAATGGCCACAGAAAATGGGGAGCAGCCGCATGGATCATGGAGGTACGAGCCACCTCCATGACTAAGCCAATGTGGCGCTCAGCAATCCCATTCTACTATGAGGAGGCCGGAAGCGTGAACGACTGGAGGATGCCCTCCCTACAACAAAAGTCCCGCAAGAGGTCGGAGGAGAACTCACCACCTCTGTCAAAGTGCAGACGCAGGACAGGAAGGTCCGTGCGGAACCGCTCGCGGAGCTGGAGACGGACAG